GTGTTTTCTCCACCTCCAACATAGGGAGCCCTAACGGTTCTTCCACCCCTCCCCCTGCCCCACAGTCTACCATAACTCGGTGTCCACCCCTATCATGCATCAACTGTCTGTTTGTCGATGTTTGTGCTGTTGCACCAGCCGACCTTGTCTGTCGATTTCACTTTCCCCTCATTTCATTTCATCTGACGACGGGTCGGTGTCACCGACTTGAAAATTTACGAGTACAACTGGATTTTCCGAATAGACTTGTGTATTCACATTGAATTGTTCCTAAAGACTGGGCGTCTAAGCAGTCTCATTTACCAATCTCTATGGGCAACCAACAACGTGCAGACAAGTAGGAATGGAAGACACGTTTGTTCATCGACCTCCAGTTTAATTACAGTTTTCCGTATATACGGAGAAGGTCCCTGGAGTTGTCTATATCCAGCAGGGTTTTGGGCTCTACTGGTAATGCCAAAACACTTGTTTATAATGGGACAGAGGTTTTAGAATTTAAACTAAGCAAACAAGGTCAAATTATTGCCGGAGTCGTTAGTAGTATGACTAGGGAACAGCAGATGGGGATATATACAGTACGTGACCCATCTCATGAAACTGATGAGGTAACGTGATGTTAGGATTTTCGGACGTCTTACACGTTGCGCATTTTGCTCTGCCGTCCAACCTTTTTAAAGAAATGTTCTTTTCTTATGCATAAAGTGTGTGCACGTAAAGTTATCAGGTAAAATGCTCAAAAATGTGAGCGAAAATGAACGTTGCAATATGTTCAGGCTGATACCTGTTCCAGACATTGGATGTGCATTCGAGCGTGTTTTCATTTGAAAGGAGGGTAAATTACCCTCGGGAGTCCTGATAAACACATTTTTTCGGACCAGATTGTTTGTCCGATGCCAGCTGTGAAAATCAGCTCGCCAACATACAGACTATTTCTAGGGAATCAGAGATCGTATCGATTTCTAGAAGTCAGATTAGCATATCTGTGCGACTCGGTGTTCTAAGGTGCAGGAATAACGCACGCAGGCAATTTTTCGTTCAAATAGGCCACAGCAGAGGGTATGGGACGGTACACTGCATTTGTGTATAATGTGGAATGTGCCCAGTAAAGAAACATCAGAATGGCAGCTTACCGGCAGAGGACTTGGGTGCCATATCCCCATAGCCCACAGTTGTCATGGTGACAATTGCCCACCACAGGCCGATTGGTATGGATGAGAAATCACTCTGCGACGAGGGACTGAAGCGTTCGGCGTAGAATACAAGAGCCGCGAAGAGGACGATAAAGACCATGAGGAAGAAGACTAGCAGGGTGAGTTCCTTGGCACTTGCTTTAAATGTGAGGATGAGAATCTTCAGACCCGAAATATATCGTGTGAGTTTGAAAAGCCGCATTACGCGAACAATGCTCAGCAACTCAACAGCCGAACTGCCTAATCCGGGCGGATCCGATGACATTAGAAGCAGTGCAGCGTCCGTGTAGAAACTGAGAATAGCCAGAATGTCAATAAGATTGAGTGGACTGCGAAGGAACTTGAAGAGGTCGTCCGTCACCAGCAGACGAATGATGAACTCCACGGTGAACCAGATATTGCAAATGCTCTCAATATACATGAAGGCACGATGAAATCGGGGTCGACCCACTGAGGAAATGGTAAAAAACTCCTCTGCATATACGCTGGTTGAAGTGCTGCCGTTTGTGGAGCCGCCGTGTAGGGATGGAATGACTTGATCAGAGAAGGCTCCTCGTGTCAAATCGATAACTGGCAGAGTGAAACTCGGGGTTGTTTTGGAACAGTAGGAGATGATTGAGAGAATGATACAGATGATGGAGATGAAGGCCACACACTAGAGAGTGGAACAGTCAAGCGATTTAGGGTAGAAATGGAATCTCAAAAGGTTACCTGACAGAAGACACACACTGGTATTTAAAATAGAGTGACACACTATTTTACAACTTCTACACAGCTGAAAAAATGTGAAAATGCGCTTTTGGCATGATCGAACACCCTCAGATTGTTCGGGGAAATCTCTGCTTTTGCAACAGCGGTCAACTTCGTTGCATTCAGGACAAACGTATAATTTCATTGAACATGGAGTAAAGAGTTTGAACTGACTTTGTCAGCTACTGTTGCTGGTGGTCGGAAGACTTACATGAGGCGGTGTGGAAATTGGAACTGAGGAGTGTACAGAGTATGCAATTTACACCGCAAACTTTTGGCGGTCATGCAGAAAAGGAAACAACAGTCTTGTCACACTGACCATCATCGCGTAGGATGGCTCTTTCTAAGGGCCTTGTCCGTAAATTAGGTCTTTTAGTAGCAATCGCAGTTGTTTTAAAAGGTTGAAGCATTAATAATGCAACTGCAAGCAGCGGAAAAGGGCTGATTTGCATGCCTCAACTGCATGCGTCCAGAATATATCGAAGAAAGGGATAAACAAAGTAGTCGCACGATGGGGTAAATGGAAACTGAAAAATAACAGCGAAATGTATTGCTGCCACCCTCTGCAGTTTTTGCAGAAGGACGTTAGTAAAGCTTACAAAAAAGAAAATCGGAGAAAAATGCCTCGATATAACCCTCAGGAAATTAAACTGATTGAAAGCTAACGCAGATTTACTTTAAGTTTCCTAGCACATTTATCGAAAACGCTTGTAAATAATTATTCATTCATTGCCGGTAAGCAATTGCGGGGTCTACTGGCGTTAATAAAGTTACGACTGGTAAGCATTTCGGACTCAGTTGGGTTATAAGACTTTAACATACTAACATTTTAACCTTTCACAGTTTAAGCCATGGGCACACAATCAATTGACTGTCATTAACTGAGTCTTTTTAATTTTATAATACAACGTGATTATTTTTGCACAGTTTGTCCTCGCCACCTTGCCACACTCAATTTATGTGCGGCCTTAATGATTTTTCGGACTGGCATTGCTATATTCGCCCAAAAGTAGGACGCCACTTTCCTGCGGAATATAAGACATAGAGAACGGCTTTAGTGTGTACATCACTCTCAATTCCTCTGGCCGTATTTAAGGGTTCTGCCCTTGTCTGGTTTGCGTGTTCCTATTGGTCTAGTCCTGAGCGCCCGCATGAGCAGAGCCTCGTGTGTTGGTGACTCCCGAGTGTCGCGCGTAACGCGGCGGCGTGCTAATTATTGGCTCGCACGCTAGCTGGCTTGACGGGACTGAGCTGCGATTTCGCGGTTCTTTGTCAGGCGTGACCGCCGGACGACAGGGGCGGTGTATCATGTTCCGGGCAGTCCTAACAGGCATTAATCCGTTGATTGGTGTTAACGTAGAATTCCCAGTCGGTGCCGTCAGTGAATCGCCCGCTGAATTACTTGTTTCGCCTCCAGGCGCCGATTAAAAAATGCCCAAGGCCTGTAATTTACTTGGAATACACCAGAGGAATTGAATTTTTGGAGTGGAATTTGTCAATTCCGAATCGTTCTCAAACCTACCGACCGCGCTGGACGACGGTGAAATTAAATCCAATGTATATACTGCCTCAAATTGAGTGGATGGTTGCTTTTCGGCCTACCAGGTTGAGTTAGGAAGCCATTTTTGGGAATACGCCAAGCGTCAAGCAGAAAATAAATGAGTACTAAACTTGCAAAAGTAGACAAGTCCAGAAACTGTATTCGTAATTCGGCACACGAAACCGATGTCGTTTCTAATCCTTGCACATTAAAAAACGAAGAATCTCCTTAAGCGGGATCAGCTCCTATTCTCCTTTTATGACATACCAGTAACATTTAAAGACCATGTGAAATTGTTTTGGGAGATCTGTTCTAGGAACGTTTTAGTAGCAATTGTTGACGGGGTCGCTATTCAGTTGTATGCCATTATTATTTCGTTGTAAATAAATCTCCCTCGCGTTACGGTATGTAAATAATATCCAGCTGACTATAGCAACGATTTTTGGTATTTTTCTTAGTTCGATTACAATTAATTCCAACTTCGACTTGCAGGACGATTAGATTTTTATGACAATGAGCCTGCCATCCTAAAGAAAACACCAATGCGACTCCCTCCAAAAGATCAAGTCCTGCATTATTACCCAATGAATGCGTGTAAGATGCGTGAAGAAGCAATCAATGCACCTACACGAACGAATATCGTCCACAGCAGAGGGTATGGGGCGGTACACTTGAAATATCAACTGCAAACAAGGGCAGCTGACTTTCGCTGGCAGGCAAATTTCGATATGGCGGACGTGACTCGTCCGTTAATGTGACTGAGGCAGTTGTCTGGGGATATCGAACCACCACCAGGGCATACATCGCTAGTTAAACTATGAATAAACGCAAAATTGAGTATGCTTCCGGCTTTGGAGCGCCTACCAGGTTAACATGTCTCTAACGGTAGACAGTCGTCAAGCTTATTCCAGCATGTCCTACTTAGGTCTAAGTCTGTCCACCCTTGTCAGGTTAATGATCAGTTACAGCTAAAAGACCTTAAACTATTAGCTTTGTCAACAGCAGTCCCCTCGGCCCTTAAACGTGCCCTTGAATATGCTAAGGGGGATTTCAGGTTTAGACAGAGTGAATGAAACAAATACTTGCCGGCTGACCTTTGCAGCGGAAGACGACTTTGGTACTTCAAAGATCGACCATATTCGGGGCCTAAGCTTCTGCCAGAATGTAAGATTGTTGCACTCAAACTCATCTTCCAGACCGAAGCGCTTGTAGAGACCAACGTCGGTAATCTCTTCGGCATCCATCTCAGCTCGGTCAAGAATCTGAAGAGTGTCCTGTGTGTCTCGATGTGCTGTGTAAGTCATCCAGCAGCAGGGCTCCACCTAGATAACAGCAGGATTCAAAACTTGAGTGAAAACATCTAACACAGGATACATCTCATGAAAACATCCCCGTTAAAGCAGTGTGTATAACGATAGGGTCATAGAGTCTAATGCCAGTTTTAAAGTCCAATTTTCTCCCTTGCCTAATTTGAAATACCTACTGACGTAATATACTGATGAAAACTCAAAAAAACCTAAAAAATTAAATTGGAAAAGCCAATTCATTTGCGATACGATTTGTCGGCAATGGGCCTGTAACTTGTTCCAGAAAGCCATGAAATTAGAACTTCATTCATCAAGTTGTGTCTGTGCAGTTTAGATGAGTATCGACAAAATTAAACTATTGTCCGAGTACAAATACTCGCCATAGCCTATTTAAAAAGGACATAAACGGTCAGATTTTTGAAAGAATTCTTATTCTAAGACAAGGTGTAATCAGGTAGAGGCAAGACGTAGGCTAGAAATCGTGAATAGGATGACTACTAGTAGTAATTGAAGCCAAATTCTAAGCGCTCTCAAAAGACTCGTTAAGTAGTTTTTGGCTTCGCTAGCAATTTTTGTCGGACGTCAAAATGATACTGAACGCGCTTTAAAATGCATCTAGGTAATCTAGTGAAGAAGGGTTAATCCATTCATTTTCGACAAAAAAGTGACTTGATTAATACAATTCGTGATTTGCCAGATATGGATGGCAGATTACCAATCAAGGTTTTACATTCGTAAGGTCACCGGTAGAAGCGCATGACAAAAGAACCTGGTATATACCCCTAATATTTGGGCTTAACATTTTACGCTGTAAACGCCTCTTTGCTTATCATGAATATTCCTTAGGGAAGCTAACAATTATGCGTACTCAGGCAGGAAACTGAGACTGGCAACTATAGGACTTCCTCAGTAAAGAAATGACAGGAAATCATTATTCAGACTGTGTAGCATTGCAAAAATCGCACATACCACCTTCAGAAGCAAGATATTTACCCACATTTTTAAATTAATTGAGACTACACTTTAGTTTTTACTTTACTTTTCGGTCATTATCCGATATTCCTTGCATTCATTCAGTACGCAGCACCAGTGCGCGAGAGAAAATCGTATTCTGCGATAAAATGAAATCGTCCTGTTATCCAAAAGGGTGAATTCTGCACACGCGTTTGCTTAAGCTAACCCAGAAAACACTTTGCTGTAGAGTGGATTTGTTGATAAACCGCATCATCATTCCCTGATGACGGGTCACAAACTACGCGATGTAGACGTACAGACAGTGAAAAATCTATCATGCGCGGAAGGAAAGTCTGAAAAATAACTCACGGCCATCCGCAAAACTGTTAAAGAATTTATTTGTAGCTGATTGCAGTAAACTCTCACAGCAGCAGTTGCAGGCGCGTATTTATGCATTAACATTCTCATTTTTTTGACAATCCAATCAACTTTCACAGAAACGGTGCTCTCTTAGTCTGTACAGGCAGGTTTTTACGAAGTTTCTTTGAAACGTGAATTGGAAACGGGTTTTAATTTACACAAGCATGTGAACGATAATGCCAATAATTCTGGTTGATGTTAGTTTACGAGAAACGCCCTACGAATTTGTTGTCGGCACAGCCACAGATTGCAGCAGACGAAAATCCATGGAATGCGATTACCTATTAAGTAACAACTGCACCTCTTTAAATGCATTTTTATAATTCCAGTTTGCTTTACAGAATTGAAATTTGTATCAATATTATGAAAGCAATATTTACATAGAGGCGCAAGTGCATTTATAATAATATCATACACGTTACGTGTAAAAATGGGTGTTTCAAAAAAGGCAAACAACGCGAAACGTTGGGGTTTTTTACGACCAGTGGGAAAAACCCCTTGTGTCAAGACCACAACTGCACTTTTGTCGCAGTTCTTCATCTTATTTTCTCGAACGTTGGTTCACTGGGCGGCAGCAAAGGCCTGTTATAGAATTCGAAAACATCCTACGGCGTATTCAGCTCATATACCTACAAAGTAAAAGGCCATCGTTTTCTCGATCTCTACGTATATTAGCGTTTGCGAAATCAACGATCTCGCGAAGCTGGAGACAAACGTTCTGTCCTCGGTACCATGCATAATACGATTAAAACTGATTTTGCTCACGTCTTCAGTAAAATGGCAGAGCAATGAACGATGTTAGCAAGTATATCCAAGCAATCCCTGTTGAAGCGCAGACGGGAGTTGTCTCCTCAGTAAAAAACTGACAACTAAACATTCAGTAGCCACTGAGTCAGGCAAAAATTGCGCCAATTACTTTATTGAACGTGCTCTTCCTGAATGTGGAAAAAAATATTAAAACTGAAAGTTGATCATTTGTTTTAATTCGCATCCATTATCGAATATTCCTAGCATGCATTCAAAATGTGTTACCAGCTTCGGAAAAAAAATCACATTCTGCGATTAAATTACGTGCTGGTCACTTGAGTTAAAACGGTAAAATTTTGCAGTAGAATGGATTTTTTGGTGTCCCCCGGGTTTTTCTGCATTAGTTTTGAGGAAGGCAAAACATCTAATCAGCGCAGACGTCCAGAGAATGCACGATCTGTCATGCGGCGGTAGAGAAAACTAAAAACATAGACTCTCTGACCCCCCCAAAAGTAGGCGAGTAGTTGTTGGAGGAGGACACACTGACTGAACGCACTGACGGAACTCAGTCGTCCCGTTTTGCCTCAGAGAGCCCTGTCAAGCTGACCTGATAGCCGCTCAGGTGCGCACAATGTAGATAGGATGGCATTTTTGACATCGGAATTCTTGGCTTTTGGTAATTTCGTCCCGTTTTTCGATCCCTTCGATAGTAGAAAAGCCTGTCGACGGAAATTGCCCTATTTCAAACTGAATGTAGAAGAATGTTTTTGTCGGAGTGTATTTAAAACCAGACTTGGAACTTGTTATTCGAAATTCCTAGTCACATATCCATCGATGTTAATATCTCTCATAAATATTGCGTAGCAAGGGGCCATTTATGTGCCTAGAAACTAACTAAGCGTGCGTTGGATCCTATAGACCCTAGGATGGACAACCTGTACAAAACGAAACATCATCTATCCGTCCGTTTTTCCAATCATATTTAGATCTCAAATGACTGCAAACACCTGAGCAATTATCCAACAATTGCTTATACTTCGGCTTCCCAAAGGGCACTGTTATATTTTTGGACAGTTATAGGTTTTGAGGGTAGTTGTAGTTGCTTTTGCGGTGGACTGTATATAAAGCTGCAGTTGCGTATTACAAAAAACCTCACAAAACGCAACTTTAAAATTAGGGCTTTTAAAAATAAAGAAGGCATTGGATAAAAGCTGCACGAGTTCATGTGACAAGACGTAAAAATAGGAACCTCAGATTTTAGAGGCCTTAAGCTATGTTCCAGCGAGAATAAAGTGCAGAAGCTAGAGGTACAGTTCAGTTTGGACTTAGAATAAGCGTTAGGGGTATGGGTGATTGTCTGAAATTGCACTCAAGGCCCACGTAGGGGGCCTTCCATGCCGTTTATGCTTTTTGACTTCTAAAAATCGCAAGCATCATGTTCCTTGTGTAACAGGCTATGAGGAAAAGCTTTAATGCTCACGAAGTAAAGCTTCGATACAAGACAATGAAAGCGGATCATTTTTTGACGCACACATATCTTCAAATCTCTACTTTGCATGTACTGCGATAATAACGGGGTCAGTAAACCGCAGAACACTGCCCCTTTTTCGACATCATGCGTGATAATTTCTAATTCAGTCTTGTCCTCATCCCGTTGGAACAGACAAAAATGGACAGTAAGCCTACAATTTCATTTTGCCAGATAACGAAAGGTATATATTAATTGCATTTCAGTGTCCAATATATGTGCTTATGGTGAGCCTCTTTTACCTGATCGTTATTGTTAAGGCAAAATCTGTAAGGTTTGAACAGCCGATAAGACAAATGAGGATTAGGATGGCAACACCAGCGCTGGCTTCGCCAGTGGCCACTGCCGCCTGAGAGGACAACTCCGGATTATGTCCACAATAAACTCCTGATTCTAGTGCCTTTTTCCTTCTCCTTCCAATCTGGGATCTGACCTGGTGGTTGTAGAGCTCAAATTACTAAATCTCACCGCATGCTCACGACAATTTTGTTTTGCTGGTTGTGGCACGTTCAAGTGGCCCATTGGTAACCGCGACGCAGTGTGGACGCAGGTATGCCCGAACTGACGATTGTGTGACTTCAGGTCAGCGCGTCTGGGAAGGCTCGCTGCAAAGGATCACTAACCTTCAGACAGCGAGGTCTTGAACAGTGACGTCAGACCGGTCATGATGGCTGCCCGCTCCAGCGTCTCAAAGTGGCAACAATTTCCTGGTTATTAGTCGAAAAAATCTGAACGTGTTGGGGAAGGCGGCAGAGCATGCGGAGTTTGTTGACGTCACAGAGTTCGCCGCAACATGTGCAGCTGTGTACAGGCATTACGAGTATACATCAGAGTTGCCGGAAAACAATGTGCTTTTATGTTCTGCTCCATTTTAATTCTGTAGCTTTTTACGTGCGTCAAGTCTAGTTTTTGGCTTCTGATATAAATTTTGTTTTTAAGACTGGACATGACAAAGTGGGATACATAAAATGCGAAGGCGGTCATGTTCGTTATTGCATTTTATGTGAATTTCGCAAGGGACGCAAAGCAACAACAGTCAGCAAAACAGTTTTTGTTGTTGTTTATCCAAATGCCAGCGTCAGCGTTAGTTCGCGAGATGCTAATCTGGCGATTTCAGCCGAAAAGACTAGTAAGGGCAGGATAGCTATCTTTCGAGCGCAATACTAGCGGCATTCTCACGTCAGATTTTCGAGGAATTATTAGGAAAACTAAATCCGCCATGGAAGTCTGCTAAAGGACACATTCAACAGATTAAGGAGGTTAGTGGAGATGGAGCCTGGGTCTCACAACAACTTTTGGTAAAAACAAAGTCCAGCATTTCATAAACTGAAACGTTTGCCTACGTGGA